TCGCTCCCACAGGATGCAGGTGGGAAGGGTGACAGATGACAAGGGTGCAAAGCAGGAAAGTTCCACTGCTGGAACTACTGGCAAAACAAAGAGTTTTCTTGTAATCGTCATTGTTGTTTAAATCCTCCCTTATTTGTCTTTACTTCTGACTTTCTTATCTCCTCAGATCCCTCTTGTCCTATTATTGTGATTTCCCATTGCTATTGCTTGATAATCTGATGGCTCTGTGGAATTACATGTTCCAACTTACTGTTTTCATACTTAGCCATCTTGGCTGACATAATGATATGTCAAGTAAAAGGAAAAATTAAAATTAAGCCCATTGGATTATGAAGAATCCTATTTTTTCTATAGGTACAGCTATATAAAACATAGATAGTGACTTCTGTTTTCATATTGATCTGCTTAGCACTCCATTTATTTTTTGAATAAGCGCTGTATTACACTACACTCTACTTTTTTTACTTTAGACTTTTAAACATTGTTCTTTTACACAGATACCTCCTCAAGGTAAGTCATTAAATTCTACCAGACCAAATGTCCAGTTGTCCGAAGTAGAAGTACTGCTAACTTTATCAATTGTAAAATTTCAAACCTCTCCTTGCTTTATTATGATTATTACTCTGTTTTGGAACAAGCTCTCAGAATGTTGCCATTAGTTTCAGCAGAGCCCTTACAAATCAAGTATGTAACATGTGCTGGGAGCTATAGGAGGTGGACTTGCTATTTGAATCACAGGATCATAGAACACCACGTTGGAAAGGACCTCAAGGACCATCTGATCCAAACTTTCTTGGCAAAAGCACAACCTAGACAGGATGGTTCAGCACTCTTAAAAGTGTCCAGTGTTGGAAAATCCACCACTCCCCTGGGGAAATTACTTCAATGATGTGTAGTCCATGTGCCCACTTATTTTTTTTTTTTTTTTTTTTTTTTCTCTATATGTGGGGTTTTTTTCCTGAATTTATCTCTAAATTTCCTAGGATCCAGGAAAAGTGAAAAACTCCTTTTTCTAAGATTTCCCTGCAAGCTATATTCTGGAGTAACAAGAAGATAAACAATAAATTCAGGGCTATATTTAAAAACATTTAAAATATTTTGTACAAATAACATGCTGATGCTATAACATACCTCCCATTTAGTTAGCTGTGTAGGTATCCAGGAGACAATAAATAATACTGAAAACTAAAGTACAGAGTATGACAGGTAATACATAAAGATGAGCTTTCTGGAATGCAGAGACATCAGACACAGGAGGTTTTCAGTGTACAAAGCTGCCATATCCTGTCACATTCTGTACAGTATCATTCAGTCTTCTTTACTGCCAGTCAGCACAAACAAACCAGCTCTGAGACACAGCATGTGTACAAGTAGCACAAGTAAACATAAAAATGAATGGGCTTGTTTTGCAAGCATGATGGAACACAGATTATGGCTGTAAGAGAAAACTGGCAATATTATTTTAATGCATTGTGTGAAAAACACAGGGAAAGCAGGAAAGTGATACATAATATTTTCTGATCTCGGTGCTTGTCGAGTTACGTCTGTAAGTCAGTGAACACTGAGATGTATAGAAATATGGCTCTCTGTTATTCAAAGCATTACCAATTCACACTTGGATGCTTTGGTTTGTAACAGTAAAGCCAAGAGATGTCATGTCAATAGATCTGTACTGCGCTTGAGTGGATCAAATTCAGCTCAGTGGTAGAACAGATAATAACACTGAATTGTATAATTACTAGGGATTTACTCCTGCCTCACTAAGGGGGCAGTGTCTAAGTGAAAAGGAGTCAATACAGGGCTAGATGCTATGCAACATAAAGCTGCACACCACCCTCTCTTTACATGCTGTATTTTAAGGCATATACACAGACATTTCTGTTGAAAAGCATTCTCTGAATGTGGTGAGAAGCCTCTTGCCTGGTCTCCAAATGAAGTGGGACTTGAGGGAAGAAATGTAAAAAGGCCAAGTCTTATCTTTTGCAATACAAATTAACACACTGAATTTGTAGAGCAGAATAAACTAGACCAGACTGTTATGTGGTCCAAATGTCTGAGTACCTCAGGGCAGACCAAAAGTTAAAGGCTGTTGTTAAGGACATTGTCCAAACACCTCTAAAACACTGACGGGTTGCCTGGGGCATTGATGCCCTCTCCAGGGAGGCTGCTCAGTGTTCGATCACCGTCTCCTAAAGAAGTGCTTCCTAATGTCAAGTGTGTATAGCTGTAAACAGGATATCTTGAATTAAGAATATGGACTATAAGTTTGGTAGTTTGTGACATTTCTGGAACAAAACATATTGATCAGAGGAATTTTTAAAAGCAGAAATTATTTTTATTCCCAGCAGTTAAACAAATCCAGTGCAAGGTCTTAAAACCCTCTCTTGACCCATTCACATTATTCAGCAAAACAAAGTTCTGTTCAAAAAGCTTCTCTAATTCTGCTACAGTCCTGCTGGTTTTCTTCCAGCAATGTTGGATACTGCCTGTGAGGAAGCCAGAAAAAATGTTTAGTTCAGGCCATTAAATAAGTTTTTTCCATGTAGGGGAATTAGAAATATTTTATAATTTTTTTAAACTTTTGTGTGTAAGTCACTTATTCTTGCTGAAAAAGTAGAATGAAATACGATGCCATTCAAAAGCAAAGGAGTTAGAGAGTCTCTGAAAATTGCTGTCAATGGTCACAACCAGGTATAAAGTTGGTGCAGGGGCAGCAGCTCCAACACCAAGGCTCTGTGTCCATCACAAAGGACATGTCCCAGGCTGGATCAAGTGGCAGTGCAACTTGATCTAGATGAAGTGTGAAATCACAGCACATGCCGGGCAAATTATCCACAGCCAGTGGCAGGGTGTTTATGAAGGCTCTGTTTTGGCTGGATGCCTGTGGGCTTACTAAGGACAGGCAGTGCTTGCCTGATAGACGCTCTGCTACTACTTAGTTCCTTCCAATAGATTTTTAAACTCAATTGGAGCTGCTACAGTGAGCTTGTACAGATTGATGGGTGTGGTGTTTTTGCAGTAGGCTCATTAAGTCAGATTTGCTTTCTGGTGGGGACACAGCCTAAGGCAGGGGTACAAAATCAAGGCCAGCTGCGGTCACTGGGTGTGTTGGGTTACTGTCTCTTGTTCAAAATAGGCTCCAGTATTGAGGTACCAGTTTATAAAGACATTGCTAAAGAGGTAGATCTAGGTACTTCATTGAAAGAGTGGAGAAAAGAGACATTAAATAAGAGTATGATGTTAGTCCATGCTAACATCTGTTTTTCTGTTATAAAAGGTTCTTATATTTTATGTTTTTCTAATCATCCTTTTTGAGTTAAGAGACAAACTTTCTCATTTCATCTATTTGATCCGTTTGGAGTTTTAGTACATTAATTTATTTAGCATCTAATAGGGCATAATATATTTTGAGTTTTGTGATGTGAAGAACAATTAAAATGAGAGAACAGTGCTAAATTAAGCCGTTTGTGTCTAATTCTCTGTAACCTTTACAATAATTTCTACTGACACAAAATAAGGAGCAGTTTTTTGCTAAATGGAGTAGTCTAGACTTGAATATATGTCAGTGTAACACAATTCCCAAATGGGTGCGAATTTGTGTCATTATTTGTTAGTGTTTTATAAATACTTTATAATGCTGTAAATGGTTAAACAAAGTGGCAGAGAATATCTGCTTATTGCACAACCACCTGACACTGGAAGTAGATACAAGTAGTCTGGAGGACAGTATTTGAATTCAAAATTATTGCAACAATAGAAATAACTAAAAAGATTGAATGCGTGTCAGAAAAGAGAAGTGCAAGGTAATGTCCTCAGGGATAATCAGCTAAAGAAAAATAGGATGTGGAAACTATTGGCTTCATAAATACAAAGGGGAAATGGATAATGGATCAGAGTTGATGGCAATTCCACAAACTCCTTAGTCCAAGCATTAGACCGAGCGAGAATTCTGTCTGATACTTAACTGACCACAGCATGCACAGAGAAGCAGAAAGGCATGGAGCATTTTGCAAAAATACAACTTGTTTGTTTTGAAAGAGTGCATGTATACAGCACAACATCTTCATAGCCATTAATGTTTGTAGAGATCAGCTCATCTTAGCAACCAGTTCTAAAAATGGAGTGCAGGCTCCCACAAACCTCATCAGATCACATCCAGGAGGAAGTGATTTTGTTACTGCACAGAGACTTTTACTGTATTCATTACAGCCAACAATATCAGAGCAGTGTACAGTAGCACGAGACAGCTACTTTCCCCATAACATTTCCATGGATTGGACAGTATAACTAGTAATGTATTCCCTAAGGAAATAAAAAAAACAACTTTTGGTGTTGTAGGGTTTTAACATTTCAAAAGCTCCCTCATATTTCTAGGATATTTTATCACTGAGAAATGTGAGTACCTGCAAATGGGTTTTTTTGTATTAGTCTGTACTTCTTTAATTTCCTTCTCTTCATGCATCTTTCTCAGTTTCAGTGTGACCATGTGACATTCATAATGTCATTGTCATGTACACAATATAGAAAAAGGAGAATATTCACACATTCAAGAAAGGATAATAACATCTTGTGTCACTAAAGTGTGTCATTATCTGGCACTCAGAAACCAGCAGAGGAGCAGCGTGCTGTGTGTAGCAGGGACCTGAGTGTCACTTCTCAGCTCTTGCTGCCCGCATCGCTGGGTCTGGCAATTATGGCAATTGGTCCGTGTCAGGAGAGCAAACATCAGCATTAATTATAACTGTGGGATAATTTGTAATGTTTCTTTATTCTTTTGTTAAGTTTCCTTTTGTGAGACGGTAGGGACTGGTATTTATTGCACGCCTTTATTTCCGTCTTTATTCTTCACTGCATTCTGAATCATTTTCAGAAAGTCAGCATGAAATATGGAATAGATACATTCCCAGACAGGTAGTACAGAGGAGAGGGGAGACAGCAGGAAGCGGGAAAGATACCAAAAGTCAGATGAAAAGAGCCTCAAAGATTCTCTTCCCTCACAGCGGAAGTTTCTAAAACATCAGAAGATTAAGTAAAACACGAAGGTTAACCTAGGAATAACCACGTTGGATATTGGAATTGGATACAAAGGATGTGCTTTAGAAAAACCGACCAGGTGCTTAAGTGGTCCCAGCTGCGGCACGGCCTGAGCCGGGTGTCGCCTCAGGGGTGGGCCGTGCACTGCAGCGGCTGAGTGAAGGCGAACTTGACAGCTACACCCGAACATCGCCAGCATCCCACGGAAACGGGCGGTGTGCTGCCACCGGGATTTCCCTGCGGGAATTGCTCGGCAAGGAAGTGACGCGCGGGCGGGAAGTGACGGCGGCGGCGGGAGCGCGGCAGCGCGGGGCCGGTGCGGGCCATGAACAGCCGCCTGCAGGAGATCCGCGAGCGGCAGAAGCTCCGCCGGCAGCTCCTGGCGCAGCAGGTACGGCCGGGAGCAGCCGAGGCACCGGGGCACCGCGGGGGCGAGGGCCTGGGGCGGCCCGCGGGCCGGGGCTGGGCTGGCCGCGGCGTGACTTTGTGTTTCCCGCTGTGCAGCTGGGGGCCGAGAACGCGGACAGCATCGGCGCCGTGCTCAACAGCAAGGATGAGCAGCGGGAGATCGCGGAAACCAGGGAGACCTGCAGGTCGGTATCGGAGGGCGGTGGCTGTGCAAAACTGGGGGCTCGATAGGAGAACAGGCCCGGCAAGTGCCATGGGATTGCACTCGGTGAAAGGAAATTCAGTAATTAGTCAAGTCAGAGCCGTGACTAAGACGAGTAGGGTGTAGTTATTCCCTTCTAAGAGCAGATTGGAAATACAGGCTGATTTTTGTTTCTGCTGTGAAAAAAAGCTACTGTGTAAGAAACTGAGATCTGAATTTAGAATGGGCCATCTACTTGGGTCCCAGAGCGTTCATGCTTTTCCTAAGCACAGTCCAGGGCAGTTCAGTTTGAAAGTTCTCATGAAACTACGGGTGTATCTTAGGACAGAGCATCTACTGCTGATCAATTCTGTGTGTGTGAACAGGCTATATTTTGTTGACAAACTGTTTTGGGGTAAAACAAGATGTACCTTTTAGAACAGAGAAATGGGAAATGGAAGGGAATGAGATTAATTCTGTAGATATACTGCATTGGTTAAAATAAGCTGTACTTTTGAGAGCAGAAAAATTAGAAAGACAAGGGAATTAGTCTTTTCAAGAGTTTTATTCTTAATAAGTTGTGCTGAACTCAAATATACTGAGAAAGGAATAGCTTTTCATGTATGATGTTTTGAAATAGTTTCAAATTTGTAACATGCAGACAAGGCATCTTGTCAAAGATTCCTGAACACTTTTCTTTGGAGACAGAAACTTTCTTATGAGGATTTTTGGCTCTTCATAGGGCTGCTTATGATACTTCTGCACCAAATGCAAAACGTAAATATCCAGATGAGGGAGAAGCTGATGAGGAAGAGATTGAAGAATATAAGGTAAGAAAAAGAGGAAAAAGTTACTTTTCTCTGATGTTGTGTCCCTGAGGTACTTAGAAAATTTGTGTGCATATTAAAATAAATGTGATGTGTACATATCCTTTAATATGTATGTTCCACAGTGGCATCTCCCTTTGATGCCTTCCACGGCAGAAGTGTAAGAGAGAGGACATAGATGCCGGGTGGTTCACCCCGGGTGTGACACGGGTGCATTGAACTGTACACTCACCAAACCTCAGTGTGTGGAGGCTTAATGAGGGCTGCTCCTAGGAGGAGGCAGGCCTAGGAGTAAGTGCCCACAGGGAACAGCGCTGAGCCATGGCTGGCTGTGGGAGGAAGCAGTAAAATGTGTGTGTGCTTGGGGAAACAGAAAGAATCTTGACCAGAATTTCAAAAGAAAAGTTGTGCAGTTAGCAGCAGGCACAGGCCATGGGATGAGACAAGGGAGGCTGAGAGTGTCTTCTGGCCCATCTGTGCAGTGCTAAGGGATGCAGTTCTGGATGAGTGGAAGAAACAAGGGATCCTAAGGGAATTGGAAGTAAGAGTTTTGGTTCAGGATGTTCTTTTAAGTGTCCAAAATGTCCAGGAGAAGTTTGGTTAAAAAAAACAAACCAAAATTCCTCCATGCCTCCATGGTCATTGAAGTGTCAAACTCTCATGCCCTTCACTTTTCAAATGCCCATCCCAGAGCTATGTGACAGCTTTCTCCTCGTGTGATGTTTTGGCCAAGATAAGGGATAGAAAGAGCTTAAACAAAGGCATGATTATGATACAGCTGTCTTTATGATTTGGTTTGGGATCTGGTTGCAGTGTATGTCCTCCTCCCTTTTTTCCATGTCCTAATAACCTTGTTTCTGTGGTTAAATCAAGTCAATGTAAGTGTATTTATGAAATAGTTCAGTGTCTGCTATTCTCTTGGATGAAATAGCAGTTTTTTAAAATACAAAGCCTTCATCATGTTGCATTTGTGTTCAGGTTTCTAAATCTTCCTGTAATAATGTCTACCTTTTATCTTACTAAACCAAAAAGTTAATGTATGACAGGATGTTTTTGATGGTTGAGTTTGAAAGTCTCTCTGTGAAGGGACAGACATTATTTTTAACACGATAAATGTTAGTCTATATATCCTGTTTAGTAAAGAAATGGTCACCATGAGTTAGAAGGCTGTTTGTGAAGCAGTGTTTTTATTCTTGCATTAGTAATCAGTTAATATCAATTCATTTTACTTCTTCACCAAGTACATGGTTAAAGAACTAAATTTTAATTACCTATAAAATATATGTGGGTAAGTTATTTGGGTTGGCAAAGCACATGAATCTTATCATTAAGATTTTCTTAATCATTGTGGAGAAGACTTACCCTGAGGTGGGCTGTAAGTGGCCAGACTTCTTCTATATTGTTGAAATGGAAGAATATTTTAATAAGAGTACTCAGACAAAAATTCAGTCGAGGAGATGAACAGACTTCAGAAACTTGAAACCCCAGAGTAGAACATCTATTGTGGAGTCATCAGCTGTTTCATGCAAGCATTGCTAATTCCCTATTGGCAAGGAGATAAGAACAGTAAAATTCCATCTCCATTTCCCTGAGCTCTCTGAGCCTGCTTAAATTTAGTCTTCTAATACGAACTTGTACAAAAATCTGGATCCTTAGGTGTCAAGCCCTATTGTATTGTGTTTAATGCAACTTAGACAAAAGCAATAATAGACTTAACTAGAAGTCTTGTGGACAAGTTTTGCAAGTTTGCCAGTTTTGTTCGGAAAATCAGCGGTATTTCTGATGTGAAGGGACTTGTGTCTATACCCCTGACTTGCAGTGTTGGGTTCTATGTGATGGGATCAGGTAAGTCTTCTGAAATGATTTAAAATGTTTGTGCCCTGGCTTCAGATTTGGTGGAAATGAATGTACCCTCAAACCTGTGTGAGAGCAGTTTCTAAGATAAAAGGTGAAGTATTTTACTTTTCTCAGCCATGTAGGAACATCTGATGCAAGAAAAGGAAAAAAAGCAATGTGTTTTAATTTTGGTGTATTTTTTAAAATTTCTGTGTGTCTATTTTTGGTTTTTCTGTAGACTAAGTTGTAGTATTGCATTTTATTGAAATGGTATGCTCTGTCTCACCCCTCCAAAATGTATGGTATATTCTAAGCCTGTGGTCCTGCCCTGAACCATCTGTCATCCCATTGGCCCAGTGTGATTCCGCGCCCACTTCAATCTCCCTCTTACTCTGTGCTAGTGAGACCCGTTGCCTTTTTAGCCTTTTTCCCTCTCTTAGCCTTCACCCCCTCTTGCTCCTTCCCTCCCCTAGGCTCCCCCTCCTTCCCCCTTCCCCCTCAGTAACCGTGCTGTTCCCGGGGATGGGACCCCTAATAAGCTGTCATCTAATCAGCACCCTCAGAAGCCGTGTGGAGTCTCCTTGCCTGCCTGCTGCTGCCAGCGAGCTCACAGCCTAGAGGGCCCCCCGGGGACACCCCAGGGTGCCCCCCCGCCCACCAAACGAACTACAACACTAAGTGTGAATTTATAGTGCTGATTCTTCATAAGGCTCAGGCTGATGTGAGAACAAAGGGCAGCACTGACTCTAGTCTGGCAGCTTGTCTCTGGTGTTGGAGCCTGGCTCTGCCTTGCCAGCCTTGGGAGGTGGGTGCACTATAGGGAAGAGATGCACTATTGGAAAAATGAATAATGGATATTTTAGAGTCAGAAAGTTCAGTTGTGGTTTTGGAGAGCTCCTAAAAGACTCCTTTCTTGTGGAATTGTAACAGTTGTCCCAAGGTTAGTTGAGCTCCCTGGTCTGTATTTGGAAGTGAGATATAATGGGATTAGAGTCTTTTCACCATCCTCTGGGACCTGTGAGTGCAGTTCCACCTGTCGCCTTCCCCAGGTGATTTCACTCCATTGTTTGAACCTGTATGAGTGTCTGGTGTGTGGAGTGCAAAACCAATTGTGGTTCTGTTTTGCTGTCTCCAGCCTAATTTGAGACTGCCCTGATCTACTCTGTGCAAGCAGAGGCCTGTGGGCTTGGGATGCTTCCATGCCATTGTTGTGGAGACGGAAGAAATCTTACTTGGTTGAATCATGGTATCTCCAGTCATTGGAAACAAGCGATGTCTGGATATTGTGGCGCGTTTCTGTTCCCCTAACTCAGCAATGCTATAGCAGATGCTTTGGAAAGCACAGCTAATTAATGTACAAGAACCTAGTATCTTGTGTTACTGCTGGTGTCATTCTGTCTCTGCTGTGACTGTGTCCTTTCCCTTTGAAAGTTGGTGGTGCGGGCTTTTGTTTGTGGCCACAAGACTCTTTTAAAACTACTTACAAAGGCGTAAAGAGACCTGGGATCACTCTGGTATCTAACTTGTCAGCAAAAGGACAAGATTTAGAGAAAGATGAAAGAGGGCAACAGGTGTAATTTATGATGGCATAAGCAGTTTTTAGTAAAACTCAAGCTTTTCAGCTTTTTTTTTTGGCCTGAATAACACTTGCAGCTGCTTGTCTGTGCATTTCTTTTCCTTGCAAACACTCCTGCTGTTTCTGATTGTAATCTTTTCTTTGATCTGGTTAAACAGACAAGCAAAAAGACTGTATATCTCTTAAGTTCATCACCTGAATAGAAAAGGGGATGCTGTGACCTGTTTATCACATCAGGCATTTCAGAAGTCAGTTGAAAGCTCCACTTTGGAAATAACAGAAGCGTACTTGAAGATTTCAGCATTTAGAGGGATCAAAATTGGGAGGGACAGCACTTAATTTTTTATTCTGCATTCAGACAGCTTATGGAGTAAATACAGCTGTAATAATATAGCAGATGTTATCAATTTATTAGTTCTTCAGTTCTACTTCTGTGTTCTGTAAATCTGTAATACTGGGTTGATCCAGGATCCTTGGGAAGGCAGAAAGTGATGTGAAGTGAGTCTCTCTTGATTTTCTGTTCTCTCTGAGTTCTGTGTTGGATGTTCAAAGTACGTCAGTCTAACAGATCTCTGAATCCCAGAAATCTGTTGAATGAACAGCTGGTGGCTCTCTAGATAGTTTTAATGTAAATTAGCGGGCTAGAGAAGAGAAATGTTAAAGTTAAATTTAAGGACAGTCCAGAGGAAATACTGTCTTGTACCATGAGCTGTTTCTTCAAAGTGTGGACTTTGCTAAGGCTGGGAAATAAGAGATGACTGTGTGGATGTAAATACTCAGAAGTTCTGCTACAGAAGAACGTCAACGAAACATACACTTTCAGTCCAAGGAATAAAAGTTTTGTGGGACAAAAATGTAAAGTTCTACACCTTGTAAAGCACTGTCAGGGGCTGCAAGTGAAGGAGCTCTTACTTTTTCCTTCTTTCAGAGGCCTTTCCCAGTAACGCTCTCCTTGTTAGTGAGAGAGGTGCAGACATTTTGGGGAACAGGTAATTTCTTTTTCCCACTTGAACAGTGGAGCTGGATCTGCTGTTTGTAGACAGTCCACTTCTCCTTATAATCTGCTTCTTAAGGAAAGGACAGAAACAGCTTGATCTTGTGTGCACACTTGTAATACCTGCTTTATTTCCAAGGATGAAGTAGAGCTGCAGCAAGATGAAGAAAACCTGCCCTATGAAGAAGAGATTTACAAAGATTCCAGTACCTTTCTTAAGGTGAGCTGCTTTTGCAGTTACAAGTGTAGTCAAAGCTGGCCCAGTTGTCTTAAACTGTTTCTGCAACTGATGGGATCTGAAATACAGCTTTAAAGGCTGAAGTAGTTGGTTGGAACTCACAACAGGTACAGAAGTTGCCTGTGACAGATCTGACTGTAACTGGTGTTTGCATTATTCCGAGGCACCTCACAATGGGCTGCAGGAATGGTGGGCCTGGTTTGGAACTAAAATGATGGTCTTGACCAGTGGAAATTATAAAGGCATGTTGAAAAGATAATCTGCTCCTTTCTCATTTGTCAGACTAACACGTACAATGTGTCTGTGTATGTCCAGTTATCTCCTGTTGCTCTCACTGAACTTCTTCCTATTCTCCAGGGCACTCAGAGCTTAAATCCACACAACGATTACTGCCAGCACTTTGTGGATACAGGACACAGACCCCAGAACTTCATCAGAGATGTTGGTATGTCATAGCCAGGAACTGTTTGAAGATGAGTCATTTGATTCAATAGCACTTCTTTCTTCCCCTTTTGTTACTCTTCCTAGTTTTTCTGTCTCAGTGTGCATACATATCAGTGTAGGCATCTACATGAATGGTTTATTTTCAGTTACTTTAGGAGGCCATTATTACCAAGGCTGTTCTTACCCTTGGTTTTTTTCCAAGCTCAGCTATTTTGATTCCAGAAAGTAGATGAGTTTAATGAAGAGATCTTGAAACCTCTGGAAGTTACAGTTCAGCTGTGTACTGGGCTGTATTGCCTCTTAAGCATGTAAAGTATGGGAAATAATGACATTTAAGTCAGGAAGCAATATGGATAATGTTTCTCACCTAATTAGGTAACTGCTGACAGCTCGACAGTTCAGCTGTGTACTGGGCTGTATTGCCTCTTAAGCATGTAAAGTATGGGAAATAATGACATTTAAGTCAGGAAGCAATGTGGATAATGTTTCTCAGCTAAATTAGGTAACTGCTGACAGCTCATTAGAATGCCCAGGTGTAGAGGACGTTGCCCCCCCCCCAATTTATTAGTACCATTCCAAGCTGTACTTTTAAATGAACATGAAGCTGAAGCCTTTTAAATAACTCCTACTTAAGCTGAAGTGATACTGCTTGGGAAGCAGGAATGGCACCCTGTTGGTTTATGCTGAACCTGCTGCTGGCAGTAGCAAACCCATTGTCTATAAGGGAGAACGAAATATACTTCGAAGTATATTTTCCTTTTTGCAACATTTGCTGCAAAAGATCTAATGAGGATGAGGGTTCTCTCCATTCCATTCTGTGCACATGAAAGGTTGGAAAATTGGCGCCATAAAGCTAAATGTAGGAGTGTGTCTTCAGGTCTTCATGACTGCCACCACAGCACCAAATGTCAGTGTGAGGGTTGCCTCAGGGAACCAGCCACAGCCCAGGTGCCATTTGGAAACAGTTGTCAAAGATTACACAGACTATGCTGTGAATTAATGTTAATTAGATCTTAATAGAAATTTATGGAAGGGGGAAAACCAAAATAACTTCTTTCATCATCCTGGCACTTTCAGTTTAAATGAAAGGTTGTTTCCTTCTGGTAACGGGAATTGTGAATTCCTGATCCACTGTTGTGTTCTAGAGAGGATCAGAGCATCAGCACTGCATCAGTAACAGCACTGATTAGCTGGGTGAGGGCAGGAGGCTTTTGTCAAGTACTGAACGAAAAAGTGCTTTAAAGGGTTTGCTTTGTTCTAACAAAAATTAAAATGAGGCTAAGTATTAACATTTGCACCTATTCAGAATACTGGACAATGCTTAATTGATAGAGATTTACTCTGTTAAGTAGTTGTTAACTTCATGTTTTCTTCTTCTTAGGCTTAGCAGATAGGTTTGAAGAATATCCAAAACTTAGAGAGCTCATCAGATTGAAGGATGAGCTGATATCTAAATCTAACACTCCTCCCATGTAAGTGTTCTTGTGGAAAATGCCTTTCTTCTCCAGACCTGTTTGAAGTTAGCTGTCTGCTTTGCAAATCTCTATCTTCAGCACCTGCTTAGAATTTAGATTTTCTCTTTCTGTTTGTGTATACAAATTAATCAACTGAAGCATAGAAGAATAAGATCACTCTGGTGTTTGTTTTTAGTTTAATCTAGATGTTTAATACGGTGTATAAACCAGATTTTCTTTCCAGTGTGTGATTATTTATCGTGTCTAAAGCTTTGATTTTTTAAGACCAAATTGTCAACTGATTTGGCTGCAGGCTTTAATTTGGGAACTAAGAGAATATCATGTGGTGGTGAATCTCATGTTATCATGTGGTTTATGATAACAAGAAGAGCTTTAAAAAAATTGCCTCTTAATATAACCTTAGCTTTTCTTGTAGCAGCTGGTTTTTGTACAGTGTTCAGCTATTATCTCAGTGTCCATCAATCACATGTTATTTTGGAGTTGAAGACAAAAATGTTTAGGCTGACTGAAAGTCATTTGTCCTTGTTTTTGCTGAATGTCAGACACAGCCTCAGAGTGCAGTGTGTTACTCCAGGGATTCAGACCTCTCTGAACTTAACCTTATGCTTGTCATGTGCAGTAGTCTTGATCTGTACCACAAAAATCCACCTTATTTAATGGTAGTCACAGAAAACCCTATGAAATAGTTGTCTGAGCAACTGAGTGCAAACTGCAAACTCAACCTGCTCTTTCAAGCTAGGCATGTGTTTTGGTCATAAAGTACAAAAGGGGGAAAACCAGTAATCAAATGCTGCCTTCAACACCAAGTACACATGGAATCTTTTCCACACACTTTTTGGGAAGGGGAAAGTGGTGGTCTATTGATCAGCTTTACTAAAGTTAAAGGAATTTAGAGGAGGGCAGTGTCATTTTTTGGTAGTGATAGAGCAGTGAGTGGTGTGCAGGCATGAAGGAGAGTCATAAGAGTGTGTGTGAGTATGTACTTAATAGAATCAGTGGTGGGGGTGGGGGGGAATTTTGCTTGGTACAGGAGTAGAGAAATACATCTATGCTATAAAAGGTAACAATGTTTCCAGTATTTAGAATCTTTGGAATAATTCTAAAAATATGCCACTTTTCCAGTTAGCCAGGCAGTGAGTGTTTGTTTCTTAAATGTTTATGTTTCTTCCTATTGTAGTCCATGGGTATACAGAAAGTGCAGTGAGTCTGCACCTAGGTATTGTTGTACAGTCTCTGCGGGCATGTGTTTCCTGCTTGCTAAGGTAGAAGCCTAAAAACTGTTTATTAAGACTACTTAAAAACCACAATACAATAGCATCCAGCCTCGATTAAGTGAGGATGTGTAATGGATCTCCTCTGGATTTAGAGCATTTGAGATGTACAACCCACCCAGGAGACCCTGCTCTTAACTGGCTGCACAGAAGTGCTGTGTGGAGAGTAGTCCTCAGGCCACTGTTGCACCTTGTCTGATGCAGTCTGGCATCTTCTGTTTAAACAGGTATTTGCAAGCAGACTTGGAAGCCTTTGATATTAGGGAACTGAAGTCCAAATTTGATGTGATTCTCCTGGAGCCACCATTGGAAGAATATTACCGAGAGACTGGCATTACTGCCAATGAAAAATGCTGGACCTGGGATGACGTAAGTACCTGTTTTGCTGTGAAGAACGTTTCATACATTTGTTTAAGCAAATAGTTTCAGGGTTTAATTTAGTAAATACAACTTTTTGTTCTCTCTGAGCCTGGCTGAAAATGTAAACCTAGTAATAGTGGGTTTTCTCTCTGCCCTTACCTTCACTGGGCTTTCTCTTTGATTTTTGACTGTTGAAATACTGAATGTCCATTGAAAAGATTCCCTTGTTTCTTGAAATTCCTGAGATTATTCAGGCATGCTTTTTAATATGCTGGTCTTCTGGTAAAAAAGTGCAGGTTAGTTTGCTTTACTGACATTCCTCCATTCTCCAACTATTGGTTGGGTAGGAAATTTTGATGGTCAAGCCAGTAATAATCCCTAGAAACTTAACAAAATAGATAAACCTCACTTGTGGAAGTCTTTCTCTTGTATTTATTCAAAAATGGTGCCTAGCAGTGCTGCCCAGGGAAAAAACATTCCATCCTAACAGAAAAACTGGAGTGTGGGAGGCAGGACTCATCTTCCTAGTGTGGAGTTACATCCTCCTAGAGTGGCCCCTACTGCATTATTTTTCCTCGGAATGGCATTGAATGAAGCTTGATTTGATGTGTTAGCAAGTTAGAGATGAATCCTTTCAACTTGTGATGACTAACAGATGCTTTGCATCCGAAGTTATTTCATCTTGAATGTTACTCATTTGCCATTGTTGAACCACTGTTCTCCTAAATTCTGGCTGCTTTTCCTGAAAGTGAAAATGGAGAGAATGTCTATTCCTATTTAGTGATAGGAATTAAGCTGAGATTTTTAGAACGTCTTCACAACCTTCATGTAAGTGCTTACAGAGAGGAAAAGAAACAGAGTACTGTTGCTTCTGTATTAAATATTTTTGCTGCCAGTGGAATGATAAAACAAAGCAGAGATTTGAGGAGGAGACCATGTGGGTTGTGTGGGTCTTTTAAATCTAGAATTTCTTATGCAGGTAGAATTTCTGTTTGTGATTGTTTCATCCCAGCCAGCAGCCCAGGCCCAGGCAGCTACTCACTCACTCCCCCACCAGTGGGATCAGGGAGAGAAATGGAAGGGTAAAAGCTGGAAAACTCAAACCTTGAGACAAAGACAGTTTAATGGGGAAAGCAAAAGCCATGCACACAAGCAAAGCAAAACAAGGAATTAGTTCCCTGCTTCCCTTGGGTGGTCCCCAGCTGTGCTTCCTGATGGTTTCTGTGACAATGCCTCAAGACTTAGTATTCTTCCTGATGCTACTGGTGATTTGTATTTAATTCAGAAATGCTTTTATTGCACTTATTATTACTAGATCATGAAATTGGAAATTGAAGAAATTGCAGCCCCAAGGTCATTTGTGTTTCTGTGGTGTGGCTCGGGCGAGGGTCTGGATCTCGGCCGAGTGGTAAGATGATGTTTTAATTCAATTTATCAGGGACAGGCTTAAGAGTTTATTTTTATCTTTGACTTTTCCCTGTATAGAATTCTCAGCCCTAACTACTGAGGGATGTTTTGTTACTGTGTTAGAGGATATGTGATTTTAAATGGCATTAACTGTTTAGATACTGTAAATGTCCAGCTGAGCCATTGACTATGTGAGGAAGCATAATTCCTTGCGGTCATGGTTTGGATGTATGTGTGTTGACAGAGGAGCAGGTTGCCAAGTTACAATTTTTTGACAGAATTCTCAGTAGTTTTCTGCCATAAAAGTTCATGCTAGGAGAAAGGTCCTACTGTTTCATAAATTGAGATACAATTGTCATCTTTCTGCATGTCAGGGAAACACTACTTGTGCTGGGGATGCTGCACAAAGAATTCCCAATTGGCTCCTGCAGTGCGGAAACATTCTTTATTTAGTTCAAGCAGTGCTTTCCATGAAAACAATTCACAGACAACTGTTTAAGGGCAGCCTGTGATTACTGATCTCTTTGCTTTGGCTGTTTTTCAGTCTCAAGTTGGCCAGATAGACTGGGTTTGGTCATAGCCAGGTTTGTAGTAGCTGGACAGTCCTTGAATAAGAAAAGTCAAGAGCCTGAGTGAGTGTTCAGTTCAGGTCACTTGATGTTTTTGTGCAGTGTGAACCGTTTTGTTTATAACATTTAGTGTCTGCGCAAATGGGGTTACAGAAGATGTGAGGACATCTGCTGGATTAAAACAAATAAGAACAACCCTGGCAAGACCAAGACTCTAGACCCCAAGGCTGTCTTCCAAAGAACCAAGGTAAAGGATTGCCTCCATCCCTCCTCTGTTTCCATTCTGTCTCTCTGTGCTGATGACACAGCCGGTGTTGGTGACAGGCTTGTGAGAAAGCCAGCAGGAGGACTTCCAAGTTCTGTTCTGCAAAGTACATTTTATGGAACTAAACATAGCAATAGAGTTTGACTAAAGTCAATGTCAAAAGAAGTCTTCTAAATCTGTAGATCTTAACTGAATCTATTAACAAAAAATAACTGTAGAAGATCGACTGTTGGTTCTAAATGCACACAAGGTGTGCGCCCACAGCTTGGACCAGAGACAAGTCTGGGGGAACCAAAGCACCTCCTGCCTTCCTGGAGGTGATTGTACAGCAAAATGATAGAATGGGTCAGCTTGCTCTAAACCAAACTTTTTTTTGAAGATGCTTTGTGGGGGATGTGTACTGAAGGAGGTGCAGAGAAAAAAAAGTGTTCTGGTTTGTGACTCAAATGTCTATTGACCAGAAATTTAGAGAAATGTAAATGGGACTCATAAATAATTAGTTTGGGTATATGTGAGTGTAACTGGAAGTTGTACTGAGTACAGAGAACCGATTGACAATTTATTCATTTCAAGTTGTCAGTGAACCTCAGGACTCCTTCCTCATTCATTCATCATCATTAGCATTAAACATCCTCAAGTCTGTCTCAAATTGGCCATTGTTAGGAGTGTAAACTTCCCTTTAGGATATCTGGAATCTTTCTTTGACTTGCATTTACATTAATCTGAAGTTTGTTTGAAAGTGTGTTGTATTAGTTATAAATATTTATAATTATAAATATTGTGTGTTTATTGCATATAGTATTGCAAATATCTTCAGTTTGCTCATGAGGGCAAGGTTAAAACTAACACAGGAGGATTTGAGGGGACTGTGTCTTTGTTTAGCACAGAAAAATAGTTTCTGGAATGGGGGAATTCCTGTGTTTATCGAGCAAGAGTTGAGCTGAGGTCATTGTTTGTGATAAACACTGAAAATGGAGTGAGTTTGCTCTGACTAAACAAGCCCTGTTGCAAGCTGTGTTTGCCAGTGCTTAGCGCAGCAGATGTGTTCTGTTCTGTTTGGCTGAGGTATCTCTCCAAGGATGCTCGGTGCTGTGCCACCTGTCAGAGAATCCCAGTATTTGTGAGTGACACGCCGTGTGGTATGGAAGTAAAAGGTTTGGGATAGTTCTCCTAAGGACTAGACTGAGGAGGCTTGGCTTGGTGGGTGGTTTGCTTTGCAGTATTCTGCCTTTCACTTGGGTACATTCTACGTCCAAACCCTTGTTGCATGAGTGCAATACCATCTGCATAGATTTGACAGGTCTGATGTTGTGCCTTTCATGTTTACCCACTAACTCTACAAACCCTTTCCAAAATTCAGGAATGATTACGTGCTCTTGTCTGTGACTGTTTCCTGAGCCATCTGGTGGCGCTTAGTGAGTCAGAGCATTTGATCCTGGGGAACATCGCTCATCCAAGATTTATATTCTCAGAAACAGAGCTCTGAAATGAGTCTGTAGGAGCCTCTTTTCATCCTGGAACAATCCTCATTCGTGGGTGCCACATATCACTCACTTAAATTGGTCTACAGGGTTGTAGAAGGAAGGAAAACAATGCATGTTACAGCTCAAGAACACTTCTAATGCTGATGAGCTGCCTGAGAGTGTGATAGTGGTTGTGGGGTTTTATGCAGAAATATCTTCTAGAAAGGAATTTGAGGGGAATTCTGAGGGTCACTTTATAAATAGAGGTACAGTATGAAAAAGTACATATTATTTCCACTGCCTGTTTCAAGACTGAAAACTTTAAAAGTTATTATATGAATAAAGTTAGGATCAGAATGCTAAGACAGGTATTAATCATAATTAATAACCATTCCTTGCTCTTGCCATCACGTTTTTCTCTTTTGCCTTGTGGAGATTTCTCAGCCTCTCCAGCCTAAAGTTCTGTAATTGAAGAAGTCCACGTAGCAGACTTCAGCCTTGATTTGAGTTTTACCACCTCATAGTGTAGTTTATCAAGCTTCAGCTTAAAGTACTGCTCTGCTTTGTTCTCAGCTGGCTCCTTTGGTGGCTCCAGCTTTTCTGCTCTAGTTCTTGTTTCAGACTTTTCTCTCCTGAGAAAAGAGTGGAATGTGCTTAGAACTGTCCTTGCTGTCCCTTGTGCTCACCTGGCACAGCAGTAGGTGTGACACGTGACAGCTCTGTGTGTCTGCAGGAGCACTGCCTCATGGGCATCAAGGGCACCGTGCGCCGCAGCACCGACGGAGACTTCATCCACGCCAACGTTGACATCGACCTCATCATCACCGAGGAGCCTGAAATTGGCAACATAGAGAAACCTGTGGAGATTTTTCACATCATTGAGCACTTCTGCCTTGGGCGACGGCGGCTTCACCTCTTTGGGAGAGACAGCACAATTCGACCAGGTAACTGCTATGTTGTTTTTGGTCAAACAGTAAAATTCATTTCAGGGTCCCAAAGAGGTTTCCAGATGTATGTCACAGGTCAGATAGCAGATCTGAAGGGAATAGTTTTTTGGTGTCTGTGAAGATCTGTCAGCCACAGAACTGACAGATTTATAAAGTTTATGAGAACTCTCATTTCTATAATTTTTCCAGAAGAGAGATTTTTGTTAACCAATATTTTCGCCTATCCATGTGTTTAATTCATCAGTGAGCATAACAAAATCCCGCTGAGATTCCTTTTCTCCCATATGTTTACGCTTCTCAGAAAAGTGATTTCTTTCTCCAACTGGTTTTCAACCCCTATGAGCTTAGTGCTGTTGCCTGTGTCTGAAGTCGCAGTATCTTACAGTGGGTGCTGCATCTGGCATGATGCAAAATGCAAGAAATACATGGATCAGGACACATTGTTCAGGTATTCCTTCAGTGCAGCTACCAGGGGGTTCTGTCTGTCAGTGTCTCACAGTCAGGTACTTGAGTATTTTTTAAAAACACTGTTGTGGTGTAAGGACAAGAAAGAAGAAGGGTTTGTGAAAGCACAGTGTGAATGTTGCCACAGCCATGTGTAATAAAAAATTTAAAAAAAAAAAAAAAAGGAAAACAAGCCCTTAGAAATACCCAACTGAAATCTCAACTGTGCAGCAACTCTAGAGGTGACTTTTCATTCTGTTCAGTGCCGCTGATGTGTAGGTGAGTGTGTCTCCCTGTCACTTGAGTGTTCATTTACTGGGAGAAGTTTCACTGTGGCCTTGAAGCCTGAAGTTTGTTGTTGCTTCTGCTGACTGTGGTTTTGTTCCCGAGGTTGGCTGACGGTGGGACCCACCCTCACAAACAGCAACTTCAACGCGGAAACGTATTCCTCCTATTTCACGGCTCCCAATTCCCACCTGACCGGCTGCACCGAGGAGATCGAGAGGCTGCGGCCCAAGTCCCCGCCGCCCAAGTCCAAGTCCGACCGGGGTGGGGGTGCTCCCAGGGGAGGAGGAAGAGGAGGGACTTCGGCAGGACGGGGAGAAAGGGGCAGGGAGAGGAACAGAACCAACTTCCGCGGTGAGCGGGGTGGATTCAGAGGGGGCCGTGGAGGGACCCATCGAGGGGGCTTCCCCACCCGCTGAAGAGGTGATGGATGCTTCCCCTGCCTACGCCTTGTGTGGGAATCTTTCCTGTAGTCTTGTTTTTCCTACAGTGAATTCCTCTGGGGACTCAAGCTAGATGACTTTTACAATTGTTTTTGGTGCACGCCGTTCCAGACAGTCGGCCTTGCAGTCTGGCACAGCCCCTCACCTGGCCATGTCCTGCACGGGCAGCACTGAGCTCAGAGCAGAGAGCACCAGCCCTTCACACCACGGGTAGGATGGAAATGACCCCTTGCTCTCCTCTTATGAACCTTGCAAGGTGGAGACTTCTTTTTCAACTTCATTTTCTCCAAAACATGGATTCCATCTCCATTGTTGGAGGTTTGGGTTTGGACTGATTTGCATTAATATGATGGAGCGGGCATGAAATGCAGCTCTGAATTGCATGGCCACAGCAGACTTGCTGTCCTCTGGAAGAAAAAGTGCTGTGTCTGTATTGACACCTATTTTAACTTCTCTGAAACCAAGGAGCAAATGAAATAAATAGAATTCTATTTTTTCTTATTTGGTTTAAACTTCCCAAATTATTCCTGGGAATAGGAAAAGGTTAATTTTTAATTTGTGGTGTATATGCACTCACCTGCCGTGTCAGTAGTGGGGAGCGTGGTAATTCTGTGCAGCTGTGTGTTGTCCTTCGTGGAAAGCACCGAGTTGTGCATTTACGTGCAGCCCAGAAGTTGTGCACAGGTGTGGGCTGCTCCTTGAGTGGGGGTTTCTCCCCAGTGTGTGTCTGTAACACCTTGTTCCTTGGGAGGGAAGAGCAGTGTCACTGCAGAGCGGTCCCAGAGACCTGGCTGGAGGGAGGATTGCACCCGGGAGGTGGTGTGAGTGTGTGATCCCTGAAACAGGGAACACTGACAGAACTGAGTGCTGCCTTTGCCTGTGGGTGTTGCACACATTTGAGAATGGCTGTTGCTGATGCAGCTCAGTGTGGAAAGAAAGTGACCCCTTCCCTATGTACAGTGTCCGTTTTTAGCAAAACCACAACTCTGAGCTTCTTGTGCAGCTCTTGGTAGGCTGAACAAACCCGGCTTTTGATGTCTCAAGGTCTTAGGTGTGGGTTTTGGAAAACTGGTGTTTAAGTCTGAATGTTTCTCCTGAAGCCCAGCTTTCAAATAACTGTCCTGTAAAGTAGTGGATTATTAAACATGTTTATCAAAGCTGATGTTTAAATATCTTCCTTAATATTTTGTGTCTTTGTTGTCCTTGAGGTTTTGGAATTGCTACGTGGTTTCCTCTGTGCTGTTGTAGATGGGAACTGTTCTTTTGATTTTGAAGATTTTGATGGGCTGGGGAACTCCCTGGCTTTGGTCATGTTCAGCATGGGATTGCCATAGTGCCAATGGGAACTGCCCGTTTACTACAGCTTGTTTCTTCCTCTGTCATATGTGCACATCTGTAGAGTGACTGGATTTGGGAAGGGGAGTTTTAAAGTTGATGTTTATCTGGTCATTGGTGAAATCTGCTACGGGCTGTATGGAACACAGCTGAGAGAAGGTAAATGCCCTAGTAGGGACACCTTTTTTTGGTGATTTTTGCCCTAATTATGTTGGTATTCGGAAAGTAAAGACACTTTACCTTAGGACCACTGCTTTTGTGGCAGGGAAAAATACTTTCTTATTTTTCAGTGAGTAGAAAACTTTAATTTCCATTTGCCCCTTTTAATTACATGCCCAGTAGTGGTAGTTCAGTGAATGAGCTGCTCTTAACATAAACTTAGGCTAAAGGGAAGAGGAGGGCCAAAAACTACTGGATCTGAAGTGCTTCTGTTTTAGTTTGCGGTGCTGCTCAAGACTTCACTGACTGAGGAAAGTAGTGGCAGGTGATGGAGGTTTCTTGGTCCTTCCCATCAAAGCAGAAATAGCTCAATAACTGTAAGAAAAAAAATGAATAGTGCTGCAGCGAGTGTTAGATTAGAGCTGTCTGGATGGGCCACCTTTGCCAGCAAAGTCTGATGTCCGTGTTGTTAATGAGCAGCTGATGGAATGTTTTAATTGAGGTTAAAGGAACTTCACCTCTGCACTTGTCCTTCATAAAGAACAACACTGCCCCTGCTCATCTGAAGGTGGAATTTCAGCAGTGACAGACTGACAAAGGCTGTACAGGTAAGGCAGTAGCGCAGGGCTGCGCACTCCCAAATCTTGGTCCGTGTCCCTCTGGGGTTGGGCATGAGACTTAGGAAGTACTGGAGTGAGACACAGTCCCACACACCCAGTTATACAGGAAGAAAATTGGGTCATTTTGGCAGTCACTGGGATTTGGACCATATAGAAATGGTGACTAGAGATGAAAAGCTTTTACTCCCATTAGCAGTTGTCAGTAATTTCTCACTTGTAACACTTCCAGAGCAAGGAGAGGATAAGGCTCAGAATCACTGAGCTGCTGATGAGCATTTCATTTGCCACAAGTAAATGAAGACTTAATTTGAGCATGCTCTCCTGGAAGATAAAAAGCCCGATGAGTTTCTTCCTTTCCACTTGCATTAAATGCATAATGTCTCCAGTCTGATTTGCGCTGCCGGTCTAGACCTTGTCATGCTTTGAGTCCTTGGATTCTTTTACACCCTGTGAATTCAGTGAAGGACTCAACACCTGCACTGACAAGGTACTCAGGATGTGTCAGCATTGGGCTTCAGAGGGAATTTAAGACCCCGGTCAGGTGTAGATCATTGTGTGTAAATCAGCCATCAGCTGGGGAATTCCATGCACTCTCTGACACTGGTGGTTGCAGGGAGCTGGCTGGAGTGCTGGTGTGCTGTGCAGGCTGGCTCTCGAGCAGTTTTGAAAACAGAAAGGTACTGTCAGGAAGAGCCACCTCTGGGCGCAGAAGGCAGATGGCACCTTCTGCAGCCTGGGCAGTGCTGCTGGCAGCTGTAGCACCAGCAT